CTTTTTCACAGAGATATACAACACACTTTTCAACCCTGTTTGAATGCCGTTTGAAGTTTGATTTGGTGTCTTATATCCGAAAATAAACTGTTTGAACTCTACCTCTCTTCCAACAACCACATCTTAAGTTCACTATGTTTTGCTGGAATCTAAGTAGGGAAGCTTCTCTGACGCTTTTCACAGAGATTTTAATACAAAAGTCTCACAAGCCTTTTCCACGATTGGCTCCTATGTGCTTCCAAATAGAACTTGCAAACCTGAATTCCTGCAAGTGAGAAGCACATTCTGCTGCCTGTTCACTTAAAGTAAAAATGGCTTTTAAGAGCTCAACCTCTAGTGAGTCTTTCTGGCAGAGATATACAACACACTTTTCAAGCCTGTTTGAATGCCGTTTGCAGTTTGATTTCGCGTCTTATTTCCGAAATCAAACTGTTTGAACTCTATCTCTCTGCTTATGACCACATCTTCAGTTCACTGAGTTATGCTGGTTTCTAAGCGGGGAAGCCTCTCTCATGCTTTTTCACAGAGATTTTAAAACAGAAGTCTCACAAGCCGTTTCCACTTACACTAACCCTGACACTAAAACTGACACTAATGTTCACCCTGACACTGGCAATGTCAGTGGACCTGAGCCTAGTCATCAGCCTGACCCTGACCCTGACCTTGACCCTGGACCTAGCCCTGACCAAGACCCTGGCACTGGCCCTGGTCCTGGCCCTAAACCTCGGCCTACCCCTTGCCCTAAAACTGGCTGTAGCCATGGCCCTACTCCAGGCCCTATACCTAAACCTATCTCAAAACTTCACCCTAACCATGGCCCTAACCCTAACCCTGGCCCTGGCCCTGGCCCTGGCACTAAACCTGGCCATGGACCTGGCCCTAAAACTGGCCATGGCCCTGGCCCTAAACCTGGCCCTAAACTAGGCCTGGTACCTGGCCCTGGGCTTGACCGTAAACCTGACCCTAATAGTGGCCCTAAACCTGGCTGTAACCCTGGCCCTAACCCTAACCCAACCTTAACCCTAACCCCAACCCTAAACCTATCCCTAACCCTAACCCTAAACCTAAACCTAAACCTGGGGCTAAGCCAGGCCCGGGCCGTGACCCCAAACATGAACCTTAACCTGGCCTTAACCCAAGCCATAACCCTGGCCTTAAACCTAACTCTAACCCTAACCCTAACCCATACCCTGGTCCTGGAGCTAAAGCTGGCCATGGAACTGGCCCTAAACCTGGCCCTTGCCCTGGCGCTAAACCTGGCCATGGACCTGGCTCTGGCCCTGGCTGTAACCCTAGCCCTGGCCCTGGCCCTGGCGCTAAACCTGGCCAAGGACCTGGCCCTAAACCTGGCCCTTGCCCTGGCGCTCAAACTGGCCATGGACCTGGCCGTGGCCCTGGTCCTGGCCCTGGAGCTCAACCTGGCCCTGGCCCTGACCCACAATCTAACCCTAACCCTGGCCCTAACCATAATCCTGTCCTTGGCCCTGGACCTGGACCTTGCGCTAAACCTGGCCCTGGCCCTAGCGCTAAACCTCCCGTGGACCTGGCCCTGGCCCTAACCCTAATCCTGGCCCTATCCCTGGCCCTGGACCTGGCACTCTCCCTAAACCTAGTGCTGACACAGGCCTGGGCCCTGGCCCTGGCCCTAAACCTAACCCTAACCCTGGTCCTGATCCTGGCCCTAACTCTGACCCTGACCCTGGACCTGGCCCTGACCCTAGCCCTAACCCTGGCCCTAAACTTAGCCCTGGCCCTGGCCCTAACCATGGCCCTGGCCCTGGCCCTTGGACAGGCCCTGGCCTTGGCCATAAACTTAACCCTGGCCCTGACCCTAAACTTGGACTTGGCCATAACCCTAATAGATACCCTAAACCTGATGCTAACTTTGCCCTGGTACTGACACTGGCCAGGGCCCTAGCCTGCCCTTGGACCTAGCCCTGGCCATGGCCCTAAACCTGACCCTAACCCTTGTTGGAAACAGGGAGCTGCCCTGAACGCAGGGGTCCCCTAGGGGGCGCAGCTCTCGTCCAGCTGTATCCAGCTGACGAAGCTTCATGAGATTCAGAGAATTGTTTTGAAAATAGCTGGAGATGTTTTTTAGGAAGTCTAGACTTCCGACCTTGGAGCATTCCTGAGAACGTGGGAGTGTGTGCTATTCCTGTAAACCCACGCACCCAGCTGCTTACACAGAATTAGTAACTCTTTGTTTAGACATGCACTTAGAAAAGTATATAAGGAGAAATGCCTGTTGAATAAAGTGCAACAGCTCTTCAAGGCTGTTTGTCCTCCTGACCCCATCTTTTGTCTCTTGTCTCTTTTCTAATCCTGCGCTCGTCTTCTCATCCTGCCATCTCCGGCTGGCTTCTGGCTACCCTAACCCTGGCCCTGACCATTACCCTAACACTGATCCTAACCCTGGCCCTAACACTGGCGCTACCCCTGGCCCTAGACATAAACCTCACCTTAACCCTAACCCTAAACCTAACAATGGCCCTAACCCTAACCTGACCCTAACGCAAATCCTGGCCCTAAAACTGGCCCTAAACCTGGCCCTACCCCTTGCCCTAAACCTGGCTCTTACTGTAAACCTAAACTTAACCCAAACCCTAACCCGAACCCTGGCCCTGGCCCAGGCCATGTCTCTAAACCTGGCCCTGGCCATTACCCTAACACTTACACTAACCCTGACACTAAAACTGATGCTAACGTTGACCCTGACACTGGCACTGACACTGGATCTGAGCCTGGTCATCACCCTGACCCTGACCTTTACCCTGACCGTGGACATAGCCCTGAACCAGACCCTGGCACTGGCCCTGGCCCTAAACCTGGCCCTAAAACTAGCTGTTGCCATGGCCTTACTACAGGCCCTTGACCTAAACCTAACCCTAGCCCTCTCCCGAACCCTAGCCCTAAACCTAAAACTGTCCCAAACCCAGGCCCGAGCCCTGCCCCTGGCCCTGAACCTGACCCTAATCCTGGTCCTAGCCCTCTAGACCTAAACCTAACCCTAGCCCTCTCCCGAACCCTAGCCCTAAACCTAAAACTGTCCCGAACCCAGGCCCGAGCCCTGCCCCTGGCCCTGAACCTGACCCTAATCCTGGTCCTAGCCCTCTCCCTAACCCTGACCCTAACCCTAACCCAGGCCCGGGCCCTGGACCTGGCGCTAAAACTTGCCATGTACCTGGCGCTAAACCTGGCCATGGACCTGGCCCTAAACCTGGCCCTAACCCAGACCCGGGCCCTGCCCCTGGCCCTGACCCTGACCCTAAACCTGACCCTAATCCTGGCCCTAGCCCTCTCCCTAACCCTGGCCCTAATCCTGATCCTGGCCCTGGCCCTGGCGCTGACCCTGGCCCTGACCCTAATCCTGGCCCTAGCCCTCTTCCTAACCCTAACCCTAACCCTAACCCTGGCCCTACCTCTGGACCTGGCGCTAAATCAGGCCATAGACCTGGCCCTAACCCAGGCCCTGGACCTGGCCCTTTCCCTGAACCTAAACCTATCCTTAACCCTGGACCTGGCACTAAACCTGGCCATGGACCTGGTGCTAAACCTGGCCCTGGCCCTGGCCCTAACCCTGGCCCTAACCCTAACTCAACCTTAACCCTTACCCTAACCCTAACCCAATCCCTAAACTTATCCCTAACACTGGACCTAGCTCTAAACCTAAAACTTGCCCTAAACCTAAACTGACCATAAACCTGACCCTAATCCTGGCCTTAACCCTGGCTATAACTGAGGCCCTAACCCTGGCTCTAAACCTAACACTGGCCCTGGCATTAAACATGGACCTAACCATGGACCTAACCCTGGCCCTAATCCTGACCCTGGGCCTGGCCCTGGCACTGATCCTGGCCCTGACCCTGAATGTGACCCTGACCCTGACCCAAATCCTAACACTAACCCTGGCCCTGGCCCTAACCATGACCTTAATCCTGGCTCTAAACCTAACCCAGGCCCTGGCCCTGGCCATAATTCTGGCCCTAGACCTGGCCCTAAATCTGGCCCTGGCCCTGGCCCTAACCCTAATCCCTGCCCTGGCCATGGACCTGGCCCTAAACCTGGCCATGGACCTGGCCCTAAACCTGGCCCTAACCTAGGCCCGGTTACTGGCCCTGAGATAGACCCTAAACCTGACCGTAATAGTGGCCCTAATACTGGCCGTAAACCTGGCCCTAACCCTAACCCAACCTTAACCCTAACCCTAACCCTAAACCTATCCGTAACACTGGCCCTAGCCCTAAACCTAAACTTGGCCCTAAACCAGGCCCTGGTGCTGATCCTGGCCCTAAACCTGGTCCTGACCTTGACCCTGACCCCAATCCTAAACCTAACACTGGCCCGGGACCTAACCCTGACCTTAACCCTGGCCCTAAACCTAACGCAAAACCTGGCCCTGGCCATAATTCTGGCCCTAGACCTGGCCCTAAACCTGGTCCTGACCGTGACCCTGACCCTGCCACAAATCCTAAACCTAACCCTGGCCCTGGACCTAACCCTGGGCCTGGACCTAACCCTAACCCTAACCCTAAACCTAACCCTAAATCTAACCCTAACCATATCCATGGCAATGGCAATGGCCCTGGCCCTGACAGTAAAACTGACCCTAATCCTGGCCCTAACCCTGACCGTACTGGCACTAACACTAACCCTGGCACTAAACCTGGCCCTAAACTTGGCCCTGGCCCTGGCCCTAACCCTGGCCCTGGCCCTAGTCTTGGCCCTAACACTCGCTCTAACACTGGACCTGGCCCTAAGCCTGGCTCTGGCCATAACCCTAACACTTACACTAACCCTGACACTAAAACTGATGCTAACTTTGACCCTGACACTGCCACTGACACTGGACCTTAGCCTGTTCGTCACCCTGACCATGACCTTGACCGTGACCTTGGACCTAGCCCGGACCAAGACCCTGGCACTGGCCCTGGCCCTGGCCCTGGCACTAAACCTAACCCTAACCCTAAACCTAACCCTTACCCTGGCCCTAACAGTAACTATGGCCCTGGTCGTGGACCTGGACCTGGCCTTGGCCCTGGCCCTAACCCTGGCCCTGGGCCTGGCCCTGGCCCTGGCACTAAACCTGGCCCTGGGCCTCTCCCTAAACCTGGCCCTAACCCAGGCCCGGACCGTGGCCCTGGCCCTAACCCTAAACCTAACCCTAACACTGGCCCTAACCCTAAACCTGTCACGGGCCCTGGCCCTGGACCTGGCCCTAAACCTGGCCCTCAACCTAACCCTAACCCTAACCCTTACACTGGCCCTAACCCTAACCATGGCCCTGGACCTGGACCTGGCGCTAAACCTGGCCATGGACCTGGCCCTAAAACTGGCCCTGGCCCTGGTTCTAAACCTGGCCCTGGACCTGGCCCTAGACCTGGTCCTAAACCAGGCCCAGGACCTGGCCCTGGCCCTGACCCTAATCCTGTCCTTTACCCTGTCCATAACCCTGGTCCTAACCCTGGCCCTAAACCTAACCCAGGCCCTGGCCCTGGCCATAATTCTGGCCCTAGTACTGGCCCTAAACATGGCACTAACACTAACCCTGGCCCTAACCCTGGCCCTGGCCCTGGCCCTAGCCCTAACCCTGGCCCTAAACTTAGTCCTGGCCCTGGTCGTAACCGTGGCCTTGGACCTGGCCCTTACCGTAAACCTAAACTTAACCCAAACCCTAACCCTAACCCTGGTCATGGCCATGGCCCTAGGCCTGGCCCTGGCCCAGGCACTAACACTGTCCCTGGCCCTGGCCTTAAACCTGGCCCTGGCCATTACCCTAACTCTGATCCTAACCCTGGCCATAACACTGGCCCTACCCCTGGCCCTAGACCTAAACCTAACCCTAAACCTAACCCCAACCCACTCACCCTAACACTAACACTAACCCTAACACTAAGCCCAAACCTACCACTAACCCTGGCCCTAACCCTAACCGTGGCCCTGGTCCTGGCCCTGGCCCTAAACCTGGCACTGGCCCTGGCCATGACCCTGCCCTAACCCTAAACCTAACCCTAACCCTAAATGTATCCCTGGCACTGTCACTGGCCCTGGCCCTAAAAATAACTCTGGTCATAAATCTGGCCCTGGACCTGGCCCTGACACTAACCCTGACTCTAATCCTGGCCCTTGGCCCTGGCCCTGGACCTGGCGCTAAACCTGGCCATGGACCTGCCCCTAAACCTGGCCCTAATCCTGACACTGGCCCTGGCCCTGGCACTGACACTGGCCCTGACCCTGACCCCGACCGAAATCTTAAACCTAACCCTGGACCTGGAGCTAACCCTAACCCTAACACTAAACCTAACCCTAACCATATCCCTGGCACTGGCACTGCCCCTGGCCCTGACAATAACCCTGACCCTAATCCTGGCCCTAACCCTGACCTTACTGGCCCTAACACTAACCCTGGCCCTAAACCTGGCCCTATTCCTGGCCCTAACGCTGGCTCTAACCCTGGACCTGCCCCTAAACCTGGCCATGGCCATAACCCTAACACTTACACTAACCCTGACACTAAAACTGATGCTAACGTTGACCCTGACACTGGCACTGACACTGGACCTGAGCCTGGTCGTCACCCTCACCTGGACCTTGAACATGACCCTAGACCTAGCCCTGAACCAGAACCTGGCCCTGGCCCTATACCTGGCCCTAATCCTGGGCCTACCCCTGGCCGTAAAACTGGCTGTAGCACTGGCCCCACACCAGGCACTAGACCTAAACCTAACCCTAACCCTAAACCTCACCCTAACCCTGGCCCTAACCCTAACGTGGGGCCTGGCCCTGGACATGGCACTAAACCTCGACATGGACCTGACCTTAAACCTGGCCCTGGCCCTGGCCCTGGACCTGCCGGTAAACCTGGCCATGGACCTGGCCCCAAACTTGGCCCTGGCCCTGGCCCTAAACCTGGACCAAACCATAACCCTGCCAGTGGCCCTGGACCTGGCCCTAAACCTGAACCTAATCCTGGCCCTAACCCTGGCTGTAACCCAAGCCCTAATCCTAACCCAACCTTAGAGCTAACCCTAACCCTAACCCTAAACCTAAACCTATCCCTAACCATAAACCTAACCCTAAACCTAAACCTGGCCCTAACCCAGGCCCGGGCCCTGGCCCTGACACTAATCTTGACCCTAATCCTGGACTTAACCCTGGCCATAACCCTGGCCCTAACCCTGGCCCTAGAACTGGCCCTCAATCTAACCCTAACCCTAACCCTTACACTGGCCCTAACCCTAACCATGGCCCTGGCCCTGGACCTGGCGCTAAACCTGGCCATGGACCTGGCCCTGGCCCTGGAACTTGCCCTGGCCCTAACCCTGGCCTGAAACCTGGCCCTGGCCCTGGCCCCTCCCTAAACCTGGCCCTAACCCAGACCCGGGCCCTGGCCCTGGCCCTGACACTAAAACTAACCCTAACCCTGGCCCTAGCTCTGGCCCTGGATGTGGCCCTGGACCTGGCACTTAATGTTGCCATGGACCTGGCCCTAAACCTGGCCTTGGCCCTGGCTCTAAACCTCGCCGTGGCCCTGGCCCTGTCGCTAAATCTGGCCCTGGACCTAACCCTAACCCTGGACCTGGCCCTGGCCCTCTCCCTAAACTGGCCCTAACCCAGGCCCGGGCCCTGGCCCTGGCCCTGACCCTAAACCTAACCCTAACCCTGGCCCTAACCCTAACACTGGCCCTGGCCCTGGACCTAACCCTAACCCTGTCCCTGGCCATGGCCCTGGGCCTAGCCCTAATCCTGGCCCTAAAATTAGCCCTGGCCCTGGACCTGGCGCTAAACCTGGCCATGAACGTGGTCCTGGCCCTGGCCCTGGCCCTGGCGCTAAACCTGGCCCTGGTCCTCTCCCTAAACCTGGCCCTAACCAAGATCCGGGCCCTGACCATGGCCCTGACCCTAAACCTAACCCTAAACCTGGACCTAACACTAACCATGGCCCTGGCCCTGGACCTAACCCTAACCCTGTCCCTGGCCATGGCCCTGGGCCTAGCCCTAATCCTGGCCCTAAAATTAGCCCTGGCCCTGGACCTGGCGCTAAACCTGGCCATGAACCTGGTCCTGGCCCTGGCCCTGGCCCTGGCGCTAAACCTGGCCCTGGTCCTCTCCCTAAACCTGGCCCTAACCAAGATGCGGGCCCTGACCATGGCCCTGACCCTAAACCTAACCCTAAACCTGGACCTAACACTAACCATGGCCCTGGCCCTGGACCTGGCACTAAACCTGGCCATGGACCTGGCCCTGGCCCTGGCCCTAACCCTGGCCCTGGCCCTGGCCCTGGCGCTAAACCTGGCCCTGGACTTAACCCTAACCCTGGCCCTGGCCCTGGCCCTGACCCTGACCCTAACCCTGGTCCTAACCCTGACCCTGACCCTGGCCATGGCCCTGGCCCTAGCCCAAACCCTGGCCCTAACCTTAGCCTTGGCTCTTGCCCTAACCATGGCCCTGGCCCATGCCCTAAACCAGACCCTTGTCCTGCCCCTAAACCTGGCCCTAATCCTAAACCTGGCCCTAATCCTGGCCCTGCCCATTACCCTAACACGGATCCTAACCCTGACCCTAACCCTGGCGCTACCCCTGGCCCTAGACCGAAACCTAACCATAACCCTAACCCTAACCCTAACACTGGCCCTAACCTTAACCTGACCCTAATGCTAATCCTGACCCTAAAACTGGCCCTAAACCTGGCCCTACCACTTGCCCTAAACCTGGCCCTTACCGTAAACCTAAACTTAACCCAAACCCTAACCCTAACCCTGGCCCTGGCCCGGGCCATGGCCCTAAACCTGGCCCTGGCCATTACCCTACACTTACACTAACCCTGATACTAAAACTGATGCTAATGTTGACCCTGACACTGGCCCTGACACTGGACCTGAGCCTGATCATCACCCTGACACTGACCTTGACCCTGAACCAGACCCTGGCACTGGCCCTGGCCCTAAACCTGGTCCTAAAACTGGCTGTAGCTGTGGCCCTACTACTGGCCCTAGACCTAAACTTAACCCTAACCCTCACCCTAACCCTAGCCCTAAAACTAAACCTGGCCCTAACACAGGCCCAGGCCCTGCCCCTGGCCCTGACCCTAAACCTGACCCTAATCCTGGCCCTAGCCCTCTTCCTAACCCTGGCCCTAATCCTGACACTGGCCCTGGCCCTGGCCCTGACCCTAATCCTGGCCCTAGCCCTCTCCCTAACCCTGACCCTAACCCTAACCCTGGCCCTGGTCCTTGACCTGGCCCTAATCCTGGCCCCAACTCTGGCCTCACCCTGGCCCTGGCCCTAAACCCAAAGCTGAACCTAACCCTGGCCCTAACCCTAAACCTAACCCTGGCCCTGGCCCTAAAACTAACTCTGGCTCTAAACCTGGCCCTGGCCCTGGACCTGACACTAAACCTGACCCTAATCTTAGCCCTAATCCTGGCCCTAACCGTCACCTTAACCCTGGCCTTAAACCTTACACAGGCCCTGGCCCTGGCCATAATTCTGGTCCTAGACCTGGCCCTACACATGGCCCTGGCCTTGGTCCTGGCCCTAAAACTAACCCTGGCCCTGGCCCTGGCCCTGGCCCTAAACCTGGCCCTCGCCCTGGCCCTAAACCTAACCCTATCCCTGGCCCCAACTGTAACCCTGGCCCTGGCCCTAGACCTGGCGCTAAACCTGGCCATGGACCTGGCCCTAAAACTGGCCCTGGCCCTTGTCCTAAACCTGGCCCTAACCCAGGGCTGGGCCCTGGCCCTAGCCCTGACCCTAAACCTAACTTTAACCTTGGCCCTGGCCCTGGCCCTGGCGCTAAACCTGGCCATGGACCTGGTACTATACCGGGCCCTGGCCCTGGCCCTAATCCTGACCCTGGCCCTGGCCCTGGACCTGGCGCTAAACATGGCCATGGACCTGGTGCTAAACCTCGCCCTTGCCCTGGCCCCAACCCTGGCCCTAATCCTGGCCCTGGCCCTGGCTCTGGCGCTGACCCTGACCCTGTACCTGCCCCAAATCCAGAAACTAACCGTGGCCCTAGACCTAAGCCTGGGCTTGGACCTAACCCTAATACCTAACCCTAAACCTAACCCTGTTGGTTCCTCGCCACTGGGGACCAACAACACAGGGCGGGAAGGGACCCTGGACCAACCGGCGGTAACCTCTTGTGCTGCTGAGTGGGATGATGAGTGTCGCAGGCCCGATCCCCTCTGCGCTTCGGCCCCGGGGACAAAGAAAGAACACCGAGCCAGGAGAGCGGTCAAAGCCGGAACTCTGTTTATTACAGCAAGCAGGGGTTTTTATAAGGTACCAGGGGCGGGGGAGCTCTTATCCAATAGGGAGTTGACACACTGCTACCCGGGAGGAGGGGTGAGGACAGGGCAGGCGGGAAAAAAGTGCAGAGTCACCGTACCCCGGAAGTTAGTTCTTTTAAGTTTTGAGTTCTCCGCTTAGGTTTCGGTTTCCCAGAATCAGCCCGAAGCAAGTTTAAAATGGCTGAGGTACTTTCACAAAATGGCTGGCGGCCCGGGCGTAGCCCAACATCTCCCCCTTTTGTTTTTGTAAACCAGGGTGTGACCTCTGTCTTAGGTTGCCTTTATTTAAAGGTCTTACCCGTCGTTGAGTATCACACAGCCAGGTTTAAAAAGGATACGGCCCCTGTCTTAGGTTGCCCTTGCTTGGAGGGTCTTACCCGTCATTGAGTACCGTATAGCCAGATGGGCAGTTAGGGGTGTGGCCCCTGTCTTAGGTTGCCTTTTACGTCAAGGTCTTACCCAGTGGGCACCACACTGCCAGGGGGAGGAGGGGGTGTACATTATTGATCGTACACATCTGTTTCTGGCATCGCCAACCTTTGGTAATGAACTTGAACATTCATTAAGTATGCAGGGTAGCAGTAGAAGAAGGAGCATAGGTCCTAAGAAAGGCAGGAGATAGGGAAGAAGCCCATTGAAACCCGTCCAAAGGAAATTATTTTGGAGGTCCCGTCGTCTTTTTTCCAAGTCTTCTTGAAGTTTTTTGATTTTGTCTTGGACGATGCCTGAGCGATTAGCATAGAAGCAGCATTCCTCCTGCAAGAACAAACAAAAGCCCCCCTTTTAAAAGATCTAACCCTCTTCTATTTTGTAGTACGACCCCGGCCAACGAATCCAATTGGGATTGGAGATCCAGGATAGTGTTGGCAATTGTTTGTATATCGTCCGGGTTTGATCCTGGGGACCACCTCCATCAGACATCCCAAGGGGTGCCACCTGATCCCAGCACATGTCGTCCCCTGATTTTACATTGGTGGGGCAGGATGCCACCGCGATGTTGGAGTCCAAAAGACCCCCGGCTCCGGCTGGCTGTCTGCCACCACGTTTATTCCCTGAGAGGCATAGCTGGTAGGTGGAATAACAAGCTGTATGTACAGTAGAGTGGAATTCATGGCTTTTGCAGGGGCAGGGGCCAGGCTTTCCCCCTACTGGGGCGATAGCGATCGGGGCGTCCCAACAGACAGACTCGCCAATTCTGCCTAAGCACTGATTGCTGTCCATGGAGGAGGTTAT